GAAATTGCTTATAGCTTAAGATTTGAATGATTATTAATAAATACTTTGTTCTCTTATCGGTATTATTTTCAAATTAATGTATCTCCCGAATATTTTCAGTTTTATGTTTCTATAATCTATTTAATAAATTTGGATTAAATTATAAATTTCGCCGATTGTACGAAGCAATAAAAAAAAAAACATGAAACCTTCTGATAGTGAAAAAAAAAAAATCTCCACGGATTCTGAACTGTTTAAATAGTTTTTAAAATAATAATATTGATAGCTTCAATTATAGAAAATTTGCATATATACAATGGAACACATACCTCATTTTTTTTTTTAATAACTGTATGAGAGGATTCGATTAAAGCTAAAATTAAAAAAAAAAATAAAACAGTTACATCTTCTTGTAAATTATAAATACTAACACCGAAACGTTAAGATATAAACATGTAATTTTAAAATACAAGAAATAAAATAATTGTTGTTTAATTGGAAGTCATTATTGCCAAAAACAAAGAATAACATACAACTTTCCAGAAAAAAGAAAAAAGACAAATAAAACTGTTACATCTTCTTGTAAATTATAAATATTAACATCTGAAAAAAAAAAAAAAGATAACGTGTTGGGGTGGTATAAAACAAATGTAAATACTTACTCTATACACAAATTTAACATCGTGACTAATAATTAAATTTTTTTTTAATTAATACCTGTAATACCAAGCTAATCTGCAATAACTAACGCTTTCAAATGTTTACCATTCAAATAATTTTTAAATTCTAACAAATCAATTTTAAAATATTAAAATAAAATAAAATATAATTAAAATATTTTATTCTAAATTCAGTTATTTTTAAAATTAAAGAAAAAGAATTTTTGGAAATGGCTCTTGGAGTCGAAATGTTAAAAAATATTAATTTTTAAATGTTTTTAAAAATGTTTTAAATATATAATAGAATACTGTGAGATTATTTATTTATTTGATGTTTTGTTGCCTCTACCCTGTAGGGTGGTTCATTGGCAACACCTTTGAATTACACTCTGTTGTAGAGCCTTATCACTTTAAAAATTTTAAAGTTTTTTTTACTGCACTTTCACTGTCTTGTAGGTTTTCTTTTAGACTCTGTGCCATGTCTAACTTTTTCCTTGTAAGTTCAAATGTAGGGCAGTCTTGAATAATGTGCTTCACAGTCCTTTGGACATTGCAGCTCTCGCAGATCGGAGGATCAAGTCCTCTTAGTAGGTAGGAGTGCGAAAACTCACAATGTCCAATTCGCAGTCTGCAAAGGGCTGTCTCCTCTTTTCGAGACGGTCGGTGAGAGGTTTTCCATTTTAAACAGTGGGGTTTAATTTCTTTTAGTTTCGATTATCCTTGTTCCCATTTGTTTTGCCACATGTTCCACACCTCATCCTTAATTTTTTTAACGTAATCCTCTAGAGGGATTTCATTAATTGGTTTCACGGATATTGTATCTGGCTTTCTTGCCATGTTGGCTGCTTGATCGGCTTGTTCATTACTGATGATCCCGCAATGCGAAGAGACCCAAATGAACACTATTTCTTTGCCCTTCTCCCTTAGTAGCCACCAAACGTTTCTTACATCTTTTGCGAGAGTGGTTTTGGACCTGGTATGTTCAATAGCTAGTAATGAACTCATAGAGTCTGTCACCACTGCCCAATTGGTAGTTTCACTTGTCTCTATGTATTTAAGAGCCTCTCTAGCATTTAACCAGTAAACACTGAACAAGCCTCCGGAATTTTGAAAAGTTTTTGAGTATTACAATTTATAACTGCACACCCTACTTCCTTGTCAACCCTTGAAGCATCCGTATACAAGATGTGACACTCCTTATGTTTTTCCAAATTTTTTAAAAACAGTTTTTGAACTTCAACTGGAAGTGCTGTATCCTTTTTATATCTGGTAATTGAGGCATATATACTTGGTTTGACAACTGTGTGATTAAAAAGGGTTTTTATAAATAAATAATCATAGGCAAATTAAAGATAACAGCTATTTTATTTTTCGACTCGCGTTACAAAAAGACTATAATTTATTCTCATTATGAATCTATACTTATTGAAATATGACAGTTCATCTCTAACTTTTAATATCCAACTGATTCTGGTCGAATCCAATTAATTATCATTAAGTTGGTCTGTTTGAGGCTTTGGCTGTTTATACAACATGTGATATTTGCTATTTTCTGCTACTAAATTATATTGGTTCGTTAGAGTTATTTTAATTCAATATTGGGAATTCTGAAAACTTTGTAATGAAATATATATCGTATGCCTTAGCCAAAATTTCCCAATATTTGTAAAATAATATCTTTCTTTTTATTTATTTCATTTACTAACATATTAGGATATCTGCCCTGCGCCAATGAAAGGCATTTTTGATAGTTCTTAAAATATATTTTGCTCATATAAAACCATGGGCCAGAATGGACTGATAACACATAAAGTTATATATCATGATCAATAGATATAATAGAGTTATATTATATGACCAAATTAGTACGGATAGAGATATAATTATATGTGGGTTAGAGTGACTTATGCGCTCTCTATGTCATGTCATCAAATTACACTCGGCAACAGATGACCCAGGATTTCTGTGTTTGGTTATTGATTGCAACGCTGACCTTCTCAGCTGTCACAATAACAAACACAGCCAACAACCGATGCATCAACAATACCAAACAAACAAGTACTATAGCCCGTGGTACAGACCCCTTTTTAGCAAATTATTAATATCCGCCTGAAACTTCGTAAATAGCTTCATCTCACCGTAACCTACTTTTATTTTATTTATGAAAACTCTTGGAATCTCGGGCGTTTTCAATCTGGACATCATAAAACTTTGTTTATTTAATTAGGTACTACAAACTCATAAGTACCCATTTGTTTTCAACTTGAACCGTAAGATAATTTGAGCACAAACTCGAGAAAAAAAAGGTGTTCTTCAAAAATAGTATGCCACTTTGCATGACCTACACCCCCAAAGTGTCAAAATAGCGAGGTTGTATAGGCCAAACGGCCTTGTACCCAAAATTCCAGGAAGAAATAAAAAAAAAAAAAAATATATATATATATATATATATATATATGGAACATTAAGGTTATTATTGATAATTTTATTTGTGACAAACCATTGAGAATTTTACGAAGGATTTACAATTGTAAGAGTTGGGTACGAGAGAAATTTGATAGATTACTGGATCCCCAAAGCTCAATTCCATAAGTCCAAATAGGTCTTATTTTAGTCAAGTAGATGAGTGTTTTATATTTAATTGGAAGAGTAGATTGGTACAGACCTCTTTTTATCGAATTATTAACATCTGCAAATAGTTTCATCTCATCGTAACCTACAACTATTTTATTTACGAAAACTCTTCGAATTGTGGCATTTTCAATTTGGATGAGGAAGCAAAATTTGTCTACTTAATTAGATACTAAAAACTCGTAAATATACATTTGTTTTCTACTTGGATCGTAAGATAATTTGATCACAAAATAGATAAAAAATGTGGACCGCAAAAATATTGGGCCGTTTGTCCAATATAACCTCGTTATTATGAAATTTTGGGGGTGTAGATCACGCCAAACGGCTCAATAATTTTTGACGACCACCTTTTTTCTCGATTTCGTGATAAAATTATCTTACGATCCAAGTAGAAAGCAAATGGGTATTTACGATTTTTTAGTACATAATTAAATTGACAAAGTTTGCCCCCCTCTAGATTGAAAACGACGGATTATTTGTTTAGGAAGTGTTAAAGTAGCCAGATACGTCTTGCAGTTTCTTCCAGTAAATGAACAGTTGTACTATGCTTTTTAATTTTGTTCTTTCAAAACAACGCATTAGTTTTGGTTTGTGACAATGAAGGAGTCGCACATGTCATTTCGACTGCCTTAATTACTGTCAAATAAATTCGAGGATTCTCCTCAATATGACAAAATAAAAATATAAAATCTAGCAGGTTATTTTATTCCTCGTTTAAAATATTAATGAAATTATTTATTCTCCAAAAATTTCTGACGGTTACTTAATGGTCTGCAATTGGTTACGCACCATTAAAGTACGTCGGGACAAGAGGAAGCCGGGCATTGGAGATTAAGTGCCCTGGAGTGATCCTGAATCAAGCTAATCACCTAAGATGAAGAGTAGATCGGGCCTCTCCCCTCAGTTAGCAACCGGGAGCAAACTCAGTTAGGACTTGGGGCTGCCGGCCAAAGGTAGTTCGTCACTAGTTTGTGGGATGAGGGAGAGTTAGAGACAGATCAAATCTATTGACCTTTAGCTCGCTCGTATTTAAGGGAAGAATTAATTCGGAAAAAAAAATTATATTTATTATATATTACATGGATATATGAGGAAACCAGATGAGAACTGGACGAATCTACATTTTTATGGATATTGGTTTTGGAGTTTCATTGAAAATTTGTTCTTTATTGCAGCTAATAAGAAAAAAAAAATGGAAGAATTCGCTTTCAAAACAACTGCAGTTTGATCAAAATTTTTAATGATTCTTTCTCAATATAAACACTAGTGAGGTTGGTCCACTCTGGTTCTCAATGCTTCATATGCATTAGGATGCCCAATAAGCTTTTTTTTTTTTTTTTTTTTTTTTATACAAAGAAAAAATATTTTAAAAGAATATTATATTATATTGTATTTATGAATGGCCTCATATCGAATACGGACAACTGTCATTTTTAAAATGTTGAAATAAAAGCTTATTTTAGTACACTTCAATTTAAACTATCTAATTTTTTTTTTCATGATTCTTCTTGAACATTCTCAATTCAAATCATTAGATAAATTTGAGTTTAACCTATTAAACAAAAATTGACTATTTTCCCGTTCTGATAATAATAGGTGCGTGCCTGTCTTTGATATGAGACCATTCATATATGTTTAACGAGTGGATGGATTTTTTTTTCTTTTTTTTTTTTATGCTCAGAGAAAATATTTTAAAAGAGTCTTTGTTACCAACGAAACGTACTTTGAATGAGATGTGACACGACAGAAATCGATGCCACAAACGGACATTTGATGAGCCTGCATGTTAACAAACATATTCGGCTCGAGGTCGTACATATCCTTGCGGGGGAAAATCTTATGGGACACCCTAATAATTTCTATAATTTTTTAAACATACTGTGGAGTTGTCCTTAACAACTTTCACCATTGATTTATTCGCCAATTACCAATGTTTTTTAACAGACATCGTTGCATATCGACATCCCATCAGTACACACAAAATATGTTTATATTTATAATAAAACAATATGCTGGATATCATAATTAATAAATACCTACCTACCTATAAATACGTGGAATTCATTTTGAAATTGCTCATTTATATCTATTCATACATTTTTTTTTTTTTTGGTTCAGTTGAAAGTAAAACAAACAGGCCTTTTTTTTGTGCTCCTTATTCAACTCTTGTTTATAACTAGCGCTTTTAATTATTGAAAGAATTTACTCGGATGTTCTACATATCATAGGGAATAAATAGTCTAATACCCTGTTTAATTGGTAAATAGTGTAATTCTCAGTGTACTTCCAGTGCTGGTAAAATGTCCTGATGATGACCCACAAGCTTAGTTTGAAACGTTGGAAGTAATAGAAATCGTAAAAACTGACTGCGTCCTGACTATTTATCACTCATAAGAGTTTTAACCTTTAATCTTTTTGCCTCAAAATAGTTCAAATTCTAGTTCATTAACCTAAAGTAGGTGTCTTGCTCTGATCATTTCCGCCAAAGAGGAACCAACTAATAGACTTAAGTATTCATGAAATGGGTTCTTATGAGCTAATTTTACGCAAGAAAAAAAGTCATAAAATTATCTTTATAAGACGTTCATTGAGAGGTCTTACAGTTTTACTGTTGCTATCTGAAATTTATATTATTTTGGTTTTGGATTTGTTTATCTTTATTTTCTATTTATTATTTATTTATTTTACTGTTTTGTTTTTTAAATTTGCAAGTTATTGTTAATAAGTCCCTATTTTTTCGTTTTTATGAAGACGAATATTCATAGACTAATATCATAAGATTTTTACCTTATATTTTTTTACATTATTTCTTTTTTTCGATTGATTTTATTTTGGCCTGATGTAATATTTTAATTTTGTTCTATTTTGTTATTCTCAAGGGACTGTGTCCCAGAATAAAGTTATTTTTCTATTTTGTCTATTCTAAGATCAGGTGGTTTGCCCATTCACTTATCTGAAAAGTGGAAGGGATATAAAATCTGAGATCTCTGACATATAACTCTTTCGTGATGCGCATTATTACAGAACATTTTTCTGTTCTATGCAGGATGACAATGGAGATTACTATAATTTATCAATTTTTTTTTATTTGGTTTGGAACAGGCCTAACCTCAGAAGTATTTCATTAAATAAAAAAAAACCTGCAAAGCTACGCCAAAAGCCAATACTTGACGTAGGTCAGAGTCTACAACTTTCCCTGAAGAAGCGATAAGACTCTGCTGAGTCGGGGATTGAACCCGCACCAAAAGGCTATCACAGTTTTCCGCCACGTCCGGAAAAGAAAGCCCTTCTGAATATTTTCCTCTTATCGACGCCCTGAGGGTGGAAGTTTTTTCATAAGGAGGGGATAGAACCGGTATTTACTTTTTGCCGCTCTATTTACGCAAATCCCCGCGACCTCTGCCGTAAATTTATTCGTTAAAACTTTTTTTTTTTTCTTCCCCTCTCTTTTCCAAACTTTATCTAATATCCTCCTCCTCTATTGGATTACCGCCTGCCCTCTTGTTTTTATCTGATCCACTTAGAGTTGGGAACCGAGTTAAGAATTGTCAAGTTCTTTCAAGAGTTGTTATCGAGTGGCCTCTTCCCTCCTTGTCCTAGGTCTTGCGAATATTCTTTTTACAGTCGTATTAAAGGGAACTTCCGCTGAGATATTTGAGTGTACTTTTCTCTTTATTTTTATTTGTTGGTTCTTTTTTTTTACCTTTTATTCGAACAACACAAAAAAATCGTTTCTTCTTTATATAAACTGATAATATCGTTGAATACTCCCTATATTTATTATGATTATTTGTTCATTGCTGTGTTTTAAATTTATTCTTTGAGGGACTTCACAAATGATGTATATTTCATGCAGACCTTTGAGTAAGGAAAACAAATTACGTCCGAGTAAATTAGGCATGGAACTCAGTATGAAACCTACAATGTATTAGTGTGTTGCGGGGCAGGGGCCGGTATCCTGATGTAGTCATAATTTATTAACAACTCAAAACATTTCTGTAGTTCTTGATGTATATTTTATATTTAAAGTAGTTGGGTGTTTTTCGGACTTATTTTGTCATCGTCCACTTCTACTTCTGCAAAACAAACTAGGGCCGTGTAGTCAGAACTTTGCAGCATTGGTAATACGAGATGTGTACTGTAACTATATGCACGGATGTGTAACAGAGACCTATAACACGTTGTACATTCCACAAGTTGTTAAAATTCTTAGGATATCAATTCCTCATTTTAGATGTCCAACTAATCCGAGTACCTTTATTTTACAATTTCTCCAACTCACTTCTATCCTTGTTAACTCGTAATTATACCGGTCCATATTCTTTTTTAAATTTGCAAACTTGCCGGTTTCCAAACATCATTTTCTGTTCTTCAATCCTTTTCTACGTTTTTATCTTCTTTTGGTTCCTCTCTTCAAGTCTCTTCCATGAGTGCTAGTTATCCTTCGTGGAAGTTACGGAATCCGGGAGAGTTAACGTCTCCTACAGGTCTCTGCCAATGTCGCTCGGGATATTTTCAATTTAATGTTGGAATTGGAAGTTGATTGGGGCCGAAGGGTCACTGCCGGAAATGGGAGCTTAATTGCCTCATGCTGTGTTCAATATTCCAGCTACACAGAGGGCGTTACTCTTCTAAGAAGTTCAAAATCCCTCTCCTACTAATATCATTCGTATTCTTCAACTATGTTGACATTAGTTTGTTGACAGTGATGATGAGTGAGTGTGTTAAAATAGTACACGATTGTTTGAATAATCGAGTTTTAAAGCGGCACTTCAGATTTTTGTCGAATGCTAGTAAATTAGGCAACACTAACATTTATTTAATAATTTTTATGTCATTAAGTATAAGATATATTTATAGTGGATTTTTATTTAATTTCTACAGAAATATTTGAGCCAAATAATAAAAATTCTATTTAAGACTTATTGTAATTCTATTCTTAAGGACGTAATTTTATCTACTTTTACTCCTGACTTTTAGAGTTATAGAAAAACAGTTATAGAATTTCGCCATTACTTCTTGTTGAATTATATATTTGCCCAGTCAAACTAGGACAGATGTGGATAAATAATTTTGGTATCGCCCATTTTTTTGGGGGGTCGCAGACCACGTATCTGAGTTTTCCTCACAGAAAGTTTGTCCGTAACTTTTAATTTTTTTTCTTCTTTAACTCAAAATTTTAACACTTTTTAAAATTTTCATGTATATCTTAAAAATTATCTTTTTTTTTTACGAGAAGACCATTATTTACAAATTAAACTAAAGATAAAAATTAAAATAAGGATAAAATGTTTACATTTTATGTACGTCAAGTTTTTCTTTACGATCAACTGTTTAACCGCTAGAGCGCGCTGTAAAATGGACCAAATCCTCAAAAGTGGCATTAACGCTGTTTATGGCCTTTAATCCCCGTTTATGGCCTTTAATCCCCCTCCCATTTCTATGGAAACTGTCAATGGTGCACTTCTGTTGACCACACATGCTATTGAGCTTCATAAATTAAAGAAAACAATTAAGGTTGTTTCATTTTATTTCACTTTGTTTCCTTAATTTTATCATTTAATTTAAAGAGCATGGATGACAAAAGTGAAATTAGATTTTATCCTTTTTTTTTGTGTAAGCTTCTATAGTTTAAACATTTTTTTATTATTTCATTATTTGAAATTTACTGTTGACCAGTATTAGATTTTTATTGCTGCAAAAGAAAATGAAGCTGTAATCTGCAGAAAGAGATGTATCTTCTTCATAAAAGATAAAAATAGTTTGTTTTCATTCATGGCATTATAAATGAAAATTGCTTTGATTGCTGAATGGACTCATCCGTGTGTTATTGTATACAATCCTCCAGATTACCTGCCGTTGATTTATTCATGTAAGCCATAACATTAGCTTGATGATCCCCTCGAATAAGAGGCTGAATTTAGGTTGCAGTAACATATACCTATTTGCATTATTTGCATTTCTATGTTTGCCCTCAGAGCTTTGCCCCCTTTTCATTAAGTGGGTCAGGATTAGCTCTTGTTCTGTTCCCTTAATAAATTTGTGATAATGATATTGTTTACACAACATATGCCTCGTTAAATTTAATGATGATTACATTTCTTCAAATTCTTTATTTTTTCTTTTACATTAGTCTTCAACTTCCAATTTTTTTTTAATAGTACAATCACTGAGTACTTCCCTTAAAGTTTCATCTTTTATTTGCTTATTAGTTGCATAAAACTCATTTGTTGACAAGTAAACAGTATCTTACTCTTAACCATCCGATTTTTAAATAGAGAAAGTTAAGTATGTTTGTTATTCACCAGAGCATTGCCCTATTTTACTATTGGCCATTCTTTGTAACTTCCGTGATGCAACTGTTTCGGTACCAATTTCTTACTTGGCTCTTTGCTTGTTTACTACCTCCATCGTTCAATTATTTTTTTCTGCAGTGATGCATTTCAATTTTTTTTTTACCAATAACATAAGTAAAATCTTCATGTAAAAACATTATTGGAAACAAATAATTATTGAAGAAGAGCGGGATAGTTGTGGTGATCAGTCAAAATAAAATTATTTTGACTGATCACCCCAACCATCCTTCTCTTCAATTATTCACTACAGTCAACCTTCAATCCACAAATTTATAATTTGTTTCTAGAAAAAAGAAAAGTAAGGCTTTTGGAGAAGGTTCAAAATTCTTTATTCCACTTTTTAATTTTGTTTTCCATTTATCTCAATATAGATAAGGTAGTTTATTTACATTTATACCATAATGTTACTTATGGTACATTAGTATATATATATATATAGGCCATTAGTATTATATATATATATATATTTTATTTTATTTTTATTTTTATATATATATATATATATATATATATATATATATATATATATATATAATATATATATATATATATATATATATATATATATATATATATAGTTATTTACATAAGTAACATTATGGCCTATTCATACCTCCTATACACATATGTATATTATGTATATGGGCAGCTACAGTTGTATATCAATATTAAGTGCCTCCCCTTATTACAGATTTATAGTGTTATTATAATATAATGTTATTGCTTGTTTGAACTAAATTACACCAGGACTGTAAATTAGATTGCTTTGAGTCCAGTTTATTATTGCATTATTGTTTATAATTTCATTGCAATGGATGTTTTAATTATTTAGCACAAACTTTTTTTAAGAAAAGTTCACTGAACTTGTAGGTCTTAATGTACTGTATTACCTCAGTTTATTTTTGAAATCTTTCCATTTTACTCCTTTTAGCTCTGTGGTAATTGAATGTGTCTTGTATAGCCATGTTCCTGTTCCACGTTGTCCTCTTAGTTCCATGTTATCTCCATGTGTTGAATTTTCAAATTTTTTATTTGTCCTATTAATTTGATATGTTGACTGATAATTTTTAGAAATAATTTCACATTTTTGTGTTTATTCCAGATGCTTAATACTGACTCATTGGTTCTAGTTCTTTGAGATCTTCCTAGCCCTAGGGTTATAATTATGCAGCATAAGCAGTCATTAAGTAGTGTGGAATTATTTATAATATTACTCTTTTAGAATTAAAGAAGGAGTGTGTCCTTCCTACTGTAGATGAGCACATGGTTACAGTTATCTGAAGTAATGAAACTCTTCAGTAGATATGTCTATATGAATCTGGTCTTCAATAAATTTCAGATTTTGTAGTATGACTAAAGCAAGCTGTTAATATTACATATAAGAATTTGTCCATGAAACTCTAGAAGCAATATCATGGTAGCATTTATTAATTAGATTGTTTTTGTTTTTTCATAACATTAGATTAGATGATCTTATTTTTTATTATTTTTTATGCACATAAAATAAATCTGAAGTAATTTTATTTATACATTTTATTGTTGATTTCAGGTGATAGCGTTCATCTGTGGTTTGATGGTGATGATACTGCTCGTACTAGCACTCATTTCAAATGATTGGCTGATGGCTTCCGGATGGAGGCAAGGTTTATTTTCACACTGTATTAGTGAGAATGCTCCGACACCGCTCCCCTTCAATATCAAGTATCTAGGACCAGACTGCTACAAAGCCAGAGACATAGGTGAGAATATATGATTATCTTTAGAATTAATTTAGGACAATTAACTTTGAATTTAAATGAATTATTAGTGTTATAATGGTTCATGAACTCAATTACTTGTTATTAAGGATTATTGGGCCTTTTTCTACTTTGAATACACCCAGTGAATTGTTATTCACTTTAGTGGTTTCACAGTTATGAACATTTCATTATACATTCTGGCTAGAAAGTAAACCTAACCTAGAAACGAATGAAATGTAACGTTATAAATATGGATTTATTAAATATGATCTAATATAAATACAATATATATTCACTTTTCTTAAGACATAAAATTTTTAACACAACGCAAACTTGTTTCAAAATAATCCTCATTTTGATACCTTTTCCTCCAAATGCATTCATTTCAGCTCTTGAAATAAACTTTAAATGAGTTACTAGCTTCATACGCTTAATAAAACAGATGTTGTATCAATTATGAATCCCATAACATGCTTAAGGGACTCTTGTGTTTCACAAATTAAATTAAGTAAATGAAAACATAACTTGTTTATCATGTTACATGTTTTATTTTTTACTATAATCAGGATAGTTGATTAGACAGCATCCAGAGTTAGTGCATATGTTTGTTTTTCTTCAATTTGTTTAATTTTTTTAATAATTTATTTTGTTTAACATTTGTTTTCTAGTCAATTAATGAACATTTAGTAAAAGCTAATCCATTAATATGGATCACAGGTTAACAGCTTTGAGCAAGTTATTTCGATCTCATCCTTGAAAAGAGTGATAACTTAAATAATTGTGGTGATGTTGAATTTATATTCAATTTGTTTATTCTTTTCTTTTTCTTTCACTTTTAGCTTACATTAAAGTTGCTGCTGCATTGTGCATTATTGCACTACTCACTGACGCGATGGCTACCCTTCTGACAGGAATTGGCCTGAGGACAACTGATCATAGAACAAAATATAAGTTCTACAGAATAGCAGTATACGTCATGATTCTCTCCTGTAAGTATTTTATTCTTAGATTTTTATCTTGTTATTATTTAATAAAAAATCTGATGTGCGCAACACAACTTTCAATTACCACTCTACTTCAAAAAAAACAATTCTTATCTGACAAAATGGCACTATTACAAGAAGTTTTTGAAGTGCATTTTTAGTGGAGGTAAACCTTGAACAATATATTTTTGAATTTCAGTCATATTCATCAGTACAATTGCTTCAATCATAAATATTTGCTAAAATGCTTTTTTCCACCTCCATCACTTCCAGAATTCTTTTATTTTTAATCCTTTTCCTTCTGGATTTTCTCATTGCTCTTATACATAAGTCCATCAACAGCCTGTTTCGGTGTCTTGTATTGATTGATGACCCAAGTCTCCGAAGCATATGTTGTAATTGGCTCGAATATAGCCTTGTATATTAGCCTCTTTGTACTTGGCTGTTTTTCAAGCTCCAAAGAATACTCTTGAGTATTGCTGTGCCCTTTCTTCCTTCACCAATACGTCTGTCGATATCATTGGTGGATGTGCCTTCTCAATTAAATATTGATCCTAGGTATTTAAATTTCTCTACAGATTTTATACCTCTTTCAGTTGGCATATCATCAGATGAAGAGCCACTCTGTTTTCGTGAAGTTAATAGTGAACCCCCACTTTTCATAACTATCGACAACCTTTCTGAACATATGATTGATGTCCTGTCTATCCTGGACTATGATTACTTGGTCATCAGCAAACATTGGGTTCATGATGCATAAATTTTCCCCAATCCTTATTCCCATTTTCCACATTTTCTTTTCCACTCTCTGAGAGCAACATTAACATAAATTTTAAAAAGGGTAGATGAAAGGCAGCATCCCTGCAAAAGTCCTTTTGAGGTCTGGAATTTTTCAGAGAGACTTGACCCTAGTTTAACATAGCAGGCATTATTATTATTATTGTGGTAAAAATAATAATAAGGGTTAAAAGGTGATTGTAAAAGGGTCAAACTATTTATGTCCATTGATTTCAGAAAATTTAAAAGTGTCTTTAAAAGAATCTTGTTTAAACATATGTTTGGAAAGAAAAAGAAATAATGTTAAATTTGTAATGTATGTTACTATTGTTCTGAATTTATATTCTTGACACAATTTTTATATTCATCCAGAATTGTTTACTTTAATCATAAATAATTAAACATTTTGTCACTTTAATTATCAAACTGCTCAACCACAGCCTACATAATGGATAGTCATGAGGTTTGCTAATTAAAGAAATGAATTTTGTATTTGGATTGTCTATTTTGAATATTTTACTTAGTAGATAAGATTTAGTTACAACAACCTGTTAACTAATTTTTATTTTTTAAATTTCTACTTATTTTGTCTGATACTTCAAATCATTTTACCATTAGTGGGCTCGTTTAAAGAGGAAACCTTTATTGATAATTATATATATATATATATATATATATATATATATATATATGCAAAATATTTTTCATAAAATAAAATTTGTATTTCTTTAACTTGTGAATTGTATCAAATTCTGTCGTTAATTCATTCATATTATTTTTTCTTAACAATTAATTATATAAGGTGATTCAGTGAGGATCATCCCTGACCACTAAGTTTATCCTTCTGATCCATTTTTAGATCTTGGGTATGTTCAATAGGGGATCGGTCTTTAAGTGAATCTACATCTAATGGATCTTTTGGCATGGCTTATCAGCTTAACCGGAATATACTTCTTATCCAACAGATAAATACTATTTTTACTATGAAATAATGTAATCCGTTGTTTGTTATCTAAATCTAAATTCAGAAATACATATTTGTACATAGTTGATTTAGTATGTTAATGAATTATGTTGTGTTAATAATATTTTTCCGCCAGAAATATTTTTGAATAACCTAGCATTAATGCGTGTTAAACAATTTACTTTTTATAACCTGTTGTATAATTTTAAAAACAATTTCTGTATGTGATGATTTAGAAGTGAAATTAATCTTTTTTTCTTTTCATTCAGTGGTTTCAGTTCTTCTGGCCTTGGTTGTGTATCCTGTTTGCTTTGCTGCTGAACTCAATGAAGGTAACTACTTTAATAAATGAGTAGTTCTAATGTCTTATAAACAATAAATGTTGTAGTTTTTAATTCTCAAACTTAGAAAAGTGATATAATTGTACTTCTATTAGAGAAAATTATTTTAATATGAGTTATCAATATTGATATGTTACTTAGTTAGCTTTCATTTTGGTGGTCAAATCAATATAAGTTAAATATGAAAATTTTAGTAACAGAGATAACCTTGGCTACAATGGTAACTATTTGAGCCGACATTGCATTCTTGGTGAAAGTAAATATTTTGTTCTTTTGTCTTAATGAGGTAAAAATTTGGGAGTATTTAAAACATTATTTCCGTTTTTTATTTCTAAACTAATGGTGTTTTTTTAAGCAGTCACCAGGTTTCAGTTTATCGAGAGTTGACTGTTATGAAAAATCTTTATATTCAATGATTTTATATTAAATTATTTTTTACATTTATTCCTCTTAAGATTTTTTTTTTCCTGTACTACTACAACCCATGAAGGATCTTGGGTTCAGTACTATTTAGGAAAAGCACTGTTTCTTAGTGAATGGTTGTGCAAGGAGGTGTGATTCGACCGAGATCATGCTTAACCGCCAGATTCTCCCCCTTAATTAATTATTTAATTAGGAGTGCCCACTTTGTAGAGCCTGGGTGAACCCCAGGAGGATCTCCTGACCCCAGGACCATAAAGAAAATGAGGGTTAAGGAATAAAGAAATTGAAAAATGAATAAGTAATGATCTTGTAAAGTTAAAATAAGAATAAGATAATATGATATTAAGATATCAGTGGATAACAATAAAATACTATTTTAACATATAGTATTTATTTGACCGCACTCCCTCTCCCCCCCCTCCCAACCAACTCCTCATAAAAAAATAGAGAACTCAAGATATTTAAAACTATGTTCATAATATTAAGATGAATGTTTGAGTCGTATAAATCATATTTTCATTGATTGAAATTGAGATATAGTATAACGGAAGTACAAATTTAAAGAATTGGTAGAAAATAAAACTTCTCTGATTTGTTCTATGAGTGGATTACTCATCAAATTTGTCTGGCTGTCACTTGTCAGCTATGAAATGAATGTCTGTATATGATTAGTTAATTTGAAGTGTACAGAGAAAAATGTATTCTAAATTTCAAGATAAGTTAGAATTGAAAGTATAAAATGCTAGCTGAATTAAAAAAAAAAAAAAAAAATGGAATAATTTTCATTACATAAGTTCTCTAATTTTTACGCGATTGCAGTGTAGCAATTGGCCCATCTGATGTTCAATTCCGATGGTTTAAATCTTTCAGTGTGATCAAATGTTTTGAAACTATTTAAGCTCTAAATATTGACAGAATATTTAATCATATTATTGAGTTTTTGTTGGTTTAATATAATATCATGTGAAAGCTCATGATTACTTGCAATTAATATAAATTTCCATTACTTGAAAAACTCAAAAATTATAATAAAAGATAATTTAATATAGAAAAAATACCCAACTTCTAAACAGTGCTTATTGAAACTTTATGAAGGTATTTAGTGCCTTCCACTACAAGTTATAGCTCCATGCTAGTACATTCTGCTCCATGTTTTGTCAGGAGTCTTGACTTTTCTTTGGATGAGGAAGGCACCCAATTACTGCACTAAATTTTAATATTTTTAGATTTCAACTTAATTAAAAATCTATTGATATGTTTAAGTGGATATGCAAGTACATTTTGTTCCATTGTGGGTTATTTCTGATGTCTTTTTTTAAATAAATAATTTTTTTTTTGTAGAACATTAAATATTTGTTTTGTATTTTATTAACAAATCTTATTGAACATTGTTGTTTATCTGTTCTAAATACTAAAATAATAAATGCAGTCTTTAGAGAATACTCAAACTCTTTTTCTCACTATATTATTAATTTAGTTTATAGTTAATCTCTTTAATTGATATTATTCATTTTGCTGTTATGAAGTTTGTCTTTTGCTACTGTTGGCTCAGGAAACAGGACTGTGTGGGAGTTCGGGTGGGCCTACGGTGTCGGCTGGGGTGCCGCTATCTTCCTGTTTGGTGCCGTTGTGCTCCTCCTCTGCGACAAGGAATCAGAAGAGATCTATTACAAGGAGAGGAAGGTGGGCGGGGCCTAGTGCGCCGCTCCCCTGCCAGACCTCGTGCTCTAGCAGTCAGGCAGGGAACATCTTCCAGTCCACAACAGTGCTCAGCTCTTCCTGTGGTCAGTACCCAATCATTGACAATTTGTAATGTTTCAGCGGCCAAAGTGAACACTTAATCGAGGCTGCTGATTAGGCCTACGCCCCGTGGCTCATCTGTACATAATGTGATTTATCTCGACCTGGAATATCTATCGCAAATATCGGTACAAAATGTACTTAAGTAACCAATGACCAAAACACTGAAATTGACTGTATTAACTTTTAAACTGAAATGATTTCTTTTTAATTTTCGACATAATTTTATCTGTTTAATTGTTTCCCTAATGAACCACAGGATTTATTATTTTCAAATATTTAATAAAATAATATTGTCACAGTTACTTCTTTATAATGAATAATAACTTTAAGATGTGTTCAGAAGCTTCATTGACAAAAAAAAAATCCAAATACAGTACTACCTCCATTGTATATCTCAATACTCTATATTGAGAGCTCTGACATCGTGGAATAGCAGATTCCCCCAGATTCTGTCTGAAAGAGCAGAGATCCATGCTTTACTACTATGTATATGGTTAATGCTTTATTGTCTGCTTTTGATGATTGTAGTGAGTAATATTTAACCTACTCAGCATAATTGTTCAGTTCAGTAAGTGTATTGTACAATGCTTCAAAAACTTCAACATGTCACATTAACATTAGATAAAAAGTATGAAACTTTATGTTTGAAAAAAGTTGGCTCATTTTTCTGAGGATTTTAATATTTATCTGGCAACAAATATATGACATAAAGAAGAAAAAGAACCAAATCGAATCATTCATTAAGAGCAATGAACTATCTTAAAATTTAAAAATAGCTTTTGAAAGGAGATAGTTTTTAATATTATACCTCAACTAATCTGGCGCATAGCTATCTTAATATTGATAGCCTGCTTTAGTTATTATTAGTATTATTTACTAATTATTAGCTCATTTACCGGATATTAAATAATAACCCTGAAGGCTGTCTTTTGTTCATTATGTATTATACATTGTGAAGGTTCTTACGCTACTTGTAAAAAGGAAGAAAAGTTATTTTTGTTTATTAATTTCACAGGAAAAATGGAAAACAAATTTAATTAATATTTACAATTGTCGAACATTTTTTCCTGCTCATAATTCTATTTATTGCTCTGAACACATCTCGGATAACATCATAATGTTTTAAATTAGCTTCCTTGAAAATAATTTTTCTGTGGTCAAATTTTTATCGTTTTTAATTTTTTCCATCTGCAAAGTTTTTAGATAGTGAGTAGAAATGAGTAGTTGATTCAATATGAACTAGTTTTGTAATGTATTATGTACTCTTGCTCATACAAGAATTTATTCTTAAAATATTGCAGATGTACACTTCTTAAGACTTTTTTCTTGTTTTATTCTAATTTGTATTTTTTGTTGTATGTTTCATAGCTAAGTGCTTAACTATGCTATTAACCACTACTTTTAATTAAATATATTATTTACTGTACCTTAGAAAGTTTTTTTTAAATTGATATATTTGAAAAATAAAAAAGGACTCAAAATACGAATTCTGTGATACATAATGGTATCGCCAGTTTCAAAACTTTGAAAGTATGTCTTTTGTCCATGATATACATGATTTTTATTTATTTTTTGTAATATTACAAGGTTTCAAAAACGACCAAGTCGTTAGTTGATATTACGTTTTTGCATGTATTCTTCTGTACTAACATTGATGTGTTAACTGAAATATGTGTATGTAAAATATATATGCGTTTGTGTATAATGTACATAAGTCGTTTTAGATCCTGAGATGGTTAAAATATGTTAGTTGTAAAACTTATTTCTTTTTAAGGATTATATTGACTGTAATTATTGCATTAAAATCCACTGTTAATTATATATTATATATATATATGTTGTATATTAATTATAGTAATAGCCTTCGGTGTAAATAACTAACTATCCACTGCCTTTCATATGTGGAATACATTTTTATATAACATGAAGAGTTTACTGAGAAAAGATAACTTTAGATAAAAAAGTTAATATCTTTGTTTTGATATAGACAGTAGGGCAGTTTTTAAAATCGGAGGTAAAGAGGAGCCTTCATTGCTGTATATACTGTTGATATCTCGCTCGATTGGTATACATGGACCAGATGATATAATGCTTACATTGCATATTTACATGACAATTCTAAACTATTAGAAACATGTGATACATACAGAGGGATAGATTTCTTTCGTCATTTTGAATATTGCTTGGATCTTATTATTTGTTTGCCAAAGTTTTGTTTCTTTCTTACTCAAGCTGAAGTTACCTTTTGTTTTGTTGTATCTAGGCTTAAGTTTTTAATATAATAGTAATAATTATGATTATTTTTTATATATTTGCTTTCCAAGTGTTGATATACAGTAAAACCTCATTAAAAATTTTAAGAATAATTATAAATTCTGATAATTAAAAAAAAATTGTTTGAATGTGTTTTTTGTATAGTTTTATAGTACATTAAATATTCTTATTATGGCTAAATGAAAATGTATCGTTTAAATATATAATGTATTATACTATGTTAAAATTGTTTTAAAAAAAAAATGTAACCATGTAAAAATTATTTAATTATTATTAATGGCACTGACCAATAGATGTTAACTCTGAAGTTATACAATACTTTTAATGGTTGATTTGGACACAAAACTAATACTATACTTTTAAAGTTTTATCTACTTATAAAAAATTGAGATATTACACAACAAAAGTTCCTGAACCTAGATTTAGAACCTGCCCCAGAGAACAATATCCTTTTCCTTCGTACAGAATAGTGCAAATCTATTGCTTTACTGCTGTACCAATGGATTATAGTTTTTCTGAATTCCCCATTTGTTTTTTTTTTTCTACAACCAAAATTAAATTTTAAGGGAAAATTGAAGGAATTTGAAGTAGGCAAACATTACACTGCTATTGTGTTTTATGCTAACCTTTCCTTCTGACCATTCTCCTATAATTTTTGGGGAATGATAGTTTTTTTTTTTTTTTTTGGAAACAGGCATGGCTACTGATTTTTTCAGAAACGGAGGTTTTACTGTATTTTCTATAACTCTTGATTCTTTTGGTTTGTCTGCCTTTTGGATTATACGTAAATAGACCAAAAAAATATTTTAATTGTTATATTCAAAGGTGGAATAATATAATAAACCAATGCAGTTATTAACCTAGAATTAATATTGGTAAACTATGTTTTTATTTCTTTTTAATATTAACTAATTGACGGTACCTCTTAAGTGAATTTTATTTAAATGAGGATGAATCTAGTGAGATAAACTGCCATTTGGAATAATTAGCATTGTCTCAATTATTAATGTATAAACTGAGATTACTATAGTCATTATAACACTGTACTATACGTTGCAGATCTATATCAGTAAGGTTAAATTCATTCATCATTGGTGATTAACTTGTGTACATAGTTGATAAGTAGGTGAGGTGTTAAGTAGTCCTGTAATTATTTCAAAGCATGTACAGGATTTTTGAAATTTTTTATGTAAATTTTCATATCAGTTCTTCCTCATTGTAATTTAATTACTTTTATGATCTATTATTGTCTGATCTGAAATGAGTCGATGTTAGGTAGCTTTTGTTAATATATTATATAGTATGTACGTTTCATAATGTCAAGGTTGTTTATGCTTCGTGAATTGATTGACAGTAGTCAAATTTCTGTTTTAAAATATTTTACAGAGACACCTAATGATTTCCAATCAAATAATCATCTCCATTAATAGTTCAGGAGAAATTTGTTTATGACAGTGAATGAGTAGCACTTTATAGAAGATTGGGTAAATGATTTTTTTTCTGACTTCTCTAGATTAAGGGTAGATGGGAAAACCAAGTTTTCCAATCGAATGTTCTTCAGGAGAATTTTATATGACCTCACAGGCGGATCTACATGGGGTGGGTGCTTTGAGGCTGAAGCCCCCCAAAATAGTAAAATGTAACTAAGTTTTATGGAATAAAAAATTATCTCTTTAAGTATTATTGTTCGTGTAATTACATTCAAAAGGACTTAAGGAGTCAGTTAAACACCATTTCATACAGGTAGTTTCTTTCTTTTTTTCCAAAGTAATTATCGTTATTTTTATGGAATAAAAGCTTTCAGGCTGAAGCCTCCTCCCCAAAATTAAATCCTGGATCCGCTAGTGTATGGCCTTAAAACCTTTCTTGACTCTTTTTTGATACATTCAAAATGTCTCTATAACCATTGTTCTACGGCCAATGCTTTAAGTAGAAAATACTTCACAACTTTCATGACATTTTTGTACATACAATATTAAGCATGGTACAGAGTTTCGAGTATAAGATAATTGCTCAAACTTTCTAAAAAACTCTGAAAAATATTGTGTAATTTGTTAATAATTTTCCACAATTATACCCTTTATTAGTACAAAACAATTTAAATTTTTTTTTATCCAACAGTAAAAATAATTTCAAGTTCATTATAGACTATTGACATTATACATGCCATTGAACCTTATAAACATATTAGATAATTTGGTGATTAAGTTTCTGGAAATATTGGTCAACATCCTTAATATTTTTGTAGACATTTTTATTAATAATTTATCTATGACAATTTTTGATCTTACTAAAAATATAATTTATCAGGAAGCAAACTTAAAAGAAAAATAAAATAAAATAAAAAATTGGCTATTAAACTCTTAGTTTTCATACTAGGAACAAGAAAATGATAACTAGACACAGGAAATATAATTGCTATTAATATACTTACTTATAAATATAATTACTTCAGTGACAAATTTTAGAATGTTATATTCAAAAGAAAAAGCAAATTTATGTATGATCCGTGCTATTAGTAGTATCAAAACACTCTTTTTGATTTCCCTTAGCATCTTTTTTATTTCATTCTTCAATTTTTTTTTCTCATTAGATTAATCTCATTTAGTATATATTTTCTTGAAATAAAAATGCCCCAGTTCACCTTCACCATTTGGTTTTCTTAATGACAATTTGATGATCAATCTTTTGTGGTTTTTAAAAATATTTTACTCATGATAAGCTCTTCCTCAAAATATTTTCTATGTACCTTTAGAATTTGTTT